CGACTCTTAAAATATTAAAGGATATCTTTAGTGCTTACGCCTGCGGTACTGAACGACTACCTGGTGCCAAGTTTTTCCCTAAAACCACCCACGTTATTTTTAAAAATAAATACTATTTTCCTTCATTTAAACTTGTGAGCGTAACAAACCTATTATAATACCCTTGCTGAGAGGATGTGGTGTTATTCAGTCTTTTTTCTCGATTCGTACTATTAGAAAATGGGCACACTACGGTTATTCTCCAATCCATGGAATACTTTAACCCTTTATCTAACGACGGTACTTATAAGTACCACTCACTTTAAAATTACATAGAATAACCATTTTTACGAATACTCAGACAATACTTTGCAAGAATATTCTTTTAAATCCACTCTTCCGAGATATATGGCATCACGAGTTCTATAATGAGTATTTTAGCCGGGAAGGCGAATAGTTTTATAGCAGAAATTGCGTTTTCAGCTGACCACATTTTCAGCGGATTACAAAGATTGTCATTTTTGTTCCGAAAAAATAGCCAATGTCAAAAGATAAGTGTCTTACTTTTTTGTATGTTAACGAAGATTTTAGAAAACAATTTGTGACATCTCTCGCGTTCTTCTTCTAACATAACATCTACGTTCTTTGACGGCCACGATTAATGGCAAAACTTTTCCAACCCAAATCCAAGAAGTGAAACGAAGCATAGATGCAAATAAGATAACCTTTAAAAGGATAGAAAGTTTAGCGAGCAAGGATGGCAATTTAGAGGAAGCTAGTTCGGAAAAGGTAGAAGTGTATTTTGACGGCCTACCAAAGCACCACGGATATCCAGCCATAACTACAAGGTGCATACTATTGCACGCGAGCCCATCAGTCTACCTGAAAGTAATTGAACCGTTGAGTATTCCACCAAGGTAGGAAGATTATATTCTGAGCGCTAGTATATTATTGAGATTGTGACTAGGCAGATATAATATATTTATATTGATAAGTGATCTAATTGCGCGATCTGAGTTAGTTAAAACTGCGTACTTTGGTTTATTCTCACTTAATATAAGTTTGTTCGATATCTAAGTAATTTAAGTTAAATTCTTAATAAAAGTCATATTAAGAATTATAGAATGTCTCATCTCATTTCGAGAATCCCACACCTCTAACTTACGCGGAAACCCCACGACATAGCTATCGATCGATGGCTATGTCGCAAATTTGACTATTTATTTTAAGTGAACAGTGAGTATATATATAATTAATTTTACAGTTTAATATCTTTAATTAATTAAATAACTCTAAAAAATTAAATTTCCCAAAATGAAGTATTTTGTTTATGTATATCCCTTAATTTTCAATGCAGTGATTCAAAAAAAAATATTGCATGAAAAAAACTGCATTAAATCATAATGCGGTAGATAAAGGGTTAAAAACTTGTTTCTGTTGATCTATTTCTCTTGTGCTACAAGCTTGAAATGTGTTATACATGTTCTTTTTGTTGAGTAAAGAATCACTAAGAAGAAATTTTTTAGAATTCGACTCCCAAAGAAGGAAGGGGGGAATGAGCGTTAAAGACAAAAAACCCTGTTTTTGAACTGTAACACTTACAGATTTGCCAAGCATGTTTCTTTTTTTTGAGTAGGTAAAAAGTATTCCCGGTTCCGAACTTTTAGATCTATAGCAGTGCTTCTCAAACATTCAATATTTGTGATCTAATTTTTAGTCATAATTTTCCTTGAGCCCCTTCCTACCCCCAATACATAACAATGCATTGTATGCAATAATAATGTACTTTGACGGTAAACCTACAATACAATATGTGACTTTAACTATAACCCTTTCAAATTATCAAGATAAATAATGCTTACGTTTTGTATATAATTCTGTTTACGAAAGCCCAGGGGAGTCAATAGTAATTGTTTTTAATTGAATATTGATAAATTAATTATCAAATACTTTGTGCAGTACTGATACATTTATAAGTATTGTGATTGTGTATATCATTTTTATTATATCAGAATATATTGTGTTTTGCTTCCTTTCAGTAAATGTATAGTTATTTTCAATTTTTTTATTTTCAATTTTTCCATATGCTCATGCTCTCCAAGCAAGGTTACCACGCCCCCTTGGGGGAAGTGTCCCATAGTTTAAGAAACGCTGACCTACAAACTTGAAAAATTGTAAACATGTTTCTTTTGTTGAGTAAAATTCCACTTAAAATGGCTTTTGAGGAAATAGACCCTGGTTTATGGAGGCATAATTGATAAAAATACACTCTATGAAAAAAACGACCCACCAAGAACGAATTGTCCGATAGAGACAACAATTGGTGGGTAGAAAGATTACGTACAGAATAAAAAATGATTAAAATTTCAGAAAAGTTAAATGATTTGTTTCAGAGTTACATAGCTACAAAGTAACGAACTCAATAAGGTGTTAACCCACCTCTAGCCTGGATGCAAGCTGCCACACGACGTGACATAGAGTGATAAAGTACCCTGACGATCTCCTGCGGTATTTCTTGCCAAATTTGCTCCAATTGTCGGGCCAGGTCATAAACATTCCCTGGTAGATGCAGTTGTCTTCCCATCATATCCCAGACATGTCGGTTAGAGAGGATCTGGCGATTTGGCTGGCCAAGAAAGCTTTTGATAAGCTACACGTGTGGCATGCGTTTTGGCATTATCTTGCTGAAAAATAAGACCAGGGTACTGCAAAAGGAACGATCTCTAATGACGACCAAAGGGGTCTGACTTCAAAAAAATAGCACCCCAGACCATAACTCCTTGTTGAGGGCCTGTGTGGCATGCAAAAGGGAAAGCATGATCGGCACACTGCCCTGGCCGTATCCAGACACATCTTCGATGATCTTCAGGACACAGATGAAAGCGGGATTCGTCTCTAAACACTATACGTCCCCAGTCAGCATGATTCTAACCTGATTGATTCAAGAACCACTGTAATGTAGCTCAAGAGTGTGCAGGCGTGAAATGGCAGGTAGCGTAGTGGTCGGTACGATCGTAAATTTCGCTCTATCAGCCGTCTGTAAATGCTCATGGTGGACAATCATGTGCGGGTCGCACGTCTGAGGGTTGATAACTATGAATCAGGTGCTGTGACAGCTGATCTGACAATCAATCTGTCCTCCTGATCTGCTGTGGTCCTAGGTCGACCGCTACCATCATGACGCTGAAATCTGTAACTGTCCACCCATTATTACTAGCATCTTCTAATGACCGCATCGCTTCGACCCATATGACCAGCGATTCTCCGATTTGCCCAACCTTTCTCTCTCTGTCTAATGATAGGACTCTTTCAAACTCTGACAGTTGCTCGTAATGAGCTCGAATCCTGCGGTGGGGAATTTTTTCAGTTGTTCAAAGGTATCCTAAATCTCAATGTAACAGAAATTTTCACCATCAGATTGATAATCGTTTCTTATAGACACCTGCTGAGTGCGCAGTTCTGAAGCGCTGTAGCTCCCGCTATTCATTCGTTGGATACCAAATTTTAATCATTTGCATGTTCGACTGAAATGTCTTTGCATACGAAATTTCATTACAATCAAGCAACTCCTTCTTTGGTGCGTCGTTTTTTGTTATAGAGTATAGTTTCACATTTTAGAAACTAAGTTCTTTCTTTTTAAATTAAGAGGACAGATTTTTAAAAGTGCTTTTCTGTACAATAGAAAGCTTAATATCTGGACTTAGATACGAAAATCTTAAAAACAATATATAGTCTTACAACATCATGTTATACCCAGAGAAGTGGGTAGGTAATGGCTAGTATATATATAGGGTGGGACAAATAAAAGTATCCCAGAGAATAATAGAGTTCTAGGTTACAAAGAAACATGACAAAGGAAAGAAAATAGTTCGCTAAGCTGCTTATGACAGAAGTTGAAAAGGATCACTATTCATCTCTCGGAACCTTTTGGGCCCTGGTAAGCAAGTTACAGAAGGCAGATTGAAGCTGGACTGTTGGAATTGCTACAATTTTATCAGAAATGGTCCACTGCAGTTCAGCTCTCGTAGACTATCAGAGTTGTTGCGATACACCTTAGACTTGAGGATTCCCCACATAAAGAAAATTGCACATAGACAGATTAGGTAACCTAGGTGGTCACTTAGAACTATGGCCAAACTGACCTCTACTAACCACTCTGTCAAGAGTGAAGATTCTGTATATGGGATCCTTAGCTCGGAGGAGGGGGGGTATGGGCAGTTGCCCCATCTCGTTGAAAGTAACTGTAGATCTTTTCCACCTCCGTTAATGCTGCCACAAAGGATTTAAAATATTGGAAACGTAGCGATCCGAATTTATCATCTGATGAAAGAAGATGGGACCAATAGTACACCTCGCAGACACTGCAAACCAACTTTCTGATCATGTAATTGTGTGGTGGAAGTTACGCAAACTATCCTCTTCTCAGAACCTTTCAATCTAGGAGTTAGCTTAGCTCCTCAGGGGTAAATATGCCTCATTAGAAATAAAGAAAGGATCCGTGTCCAAGCCATTTATTGTAATCTCTGTAAAACTGCTTGATGTGCGAGTTACATTCACGTCCAAACGTATTCACTCATCCAGGCCACTCTTATTTGCCCCTCCCTTTATAAATAAATGTGCCCAGTTATATATAAAGTAAATTCCCTTTTTCGCTTTGATAATATTTTGATTAATGTAATTCTATATATTATAGTAGTTAAGTACACAGACAATGAAATATTGATGCATTCATATACTCTAATATAATGCTTATCAATCTATTTCTATTGTGTTGCATTACAAAGCAACTCTTTTAACAAAGACAAATATTTTATTATTTAACTGAAAGCTCTTTTTTCAATTTCTACTATTAGTTCCCACTCTCCCTATATAGGCATGTATATCTTGTTCAATATATCTTTCTATTCATCCATTCAAGTTCAAATACATTTTTTTAAATGACCTTTTTAAAATTAATGAATAAATAGTAACAAACAAAAATAGTAGTCTAACACCAAAAAAAAGGAAAGTCGCTCGTTGGCTCCCTGTAGCACAATGGATAGCGTGTTGGACTTCTAATCCGAAGGTTATGGATTCAAATCCCATCTGGGGATGGCCTAATTTCTGAGAATGTTATTTATGAATGAATAAATAGTAACAAAAAAAATTAATAGTCGAACACCATATATAGAAAGGAAAATCGCTTTCTACTTTGCCACTTAATATAATAATTCTGTCCTATGTATATACATATTATATTAAATGTAATTATTTAATAAAAAGTAGCTGAAATAAATTTTTTCTTTGATGACCTAAGTAGGAATTGACTCTAAAAAAGTTTCTTTATATTGTGTTAAAATTCACTTTCATTAGAATTTTATTTTGAGAAATTGGAATAAAATACTAAACTATACGATACTGTTCGTTATAAAAAATATCCCGGGTGTAGTTAAAAATAATGTTTTGAAAAATATTAAATAAAACAGAAAGTAAAATTTCGAAATTTCGAATATTACATTTCCTCTATCGTTTAAATGTTATCTAAATACTAAATATTACCAGCTATTTTTCATTTTTCAAATAAAACAGAAAATAGATTAAAATATCTAATAACCCCCCCGCCAAAAAAAAATTAAAGCCATTACTTCAATAGTTACTTCATTAAAAAAGCTATCAAATAAAAACATTAACTTTTTCCGATTCATTTTTTAACATTCTCAACATCTTTAAAAAACAATTGAGGGAAAAAGTAATTAAAATTTTTTACAGTTCTTAAAAAAGAGATTCATATTTTAAATCAAAAATTGTACTTCAATTTAACACTTAAATTCTTACTTCACTTCTCAATGTATAAATTTTAAAAAAAAGTATAAATTAAGTCTCAGCTAAGTTTTCACAACGCTCGGTAAATCACTTTTTGAAATAAAGAAAAATGGCCATTGATTTATCTTCTTCCATCAAATAACTAACTGATAACAATAAAAGTTTCATATCTATCTACCTTATCTTGAACACTGATGAAGAGAAATTCTCATTTTTTAAAAAAGAAAATCCATTTTACTGGCATAGAATAAATTGAAATGAAATATGTAAATTAAGTGCCGCTTTTCGAAACTTAATTAATTCTCACAAACCGTAATTTCAAGCACTGCCGCGTTGAAGTATATATATATATAATCGTTTTTATTCAATAAATACCACTCAGGTTTAAATTAAAAGACTACTTAAATAAACTACTCCCGTAACATAGCTCATTTGTGCGTCTCAAGTGGATGGAGCGATAATTTTTGTTAAACTAGCGCCAAAATGGAAATTTCAATCATAAGTCATATTCGCTTTTGGAATCTGTTTTTTATATAAACGCCAAAAATTGGATCTGAAGCTTTTCGCGCACACATTTCGTTTTAAAATAAATTAATTAACTTACGTTAATGTGCTACTTAATTCTATGGTCCTTATCTTAAAAGTCAATGAAAAACTTCGTTTAAGAATCGTTAATGTAATGTGTTTTCATAAATGGCAATTAAAATAACAAAGACAGCTAATTGAGAGTGTTAGTTCGTGCATAATTGATAATTTCCTGTATAATGAGATTTTTTTCAATGTTAGCTTAATTCTAAAGAAAATAATTTTAAAACGGTAATATTTATTGTAAACATCGTGAAATATTACTAAAAATAATACACGTCAGAGCATGCATTATTCTTCCCGATTCTTAAAACAAATTTTCAAATCAAGTTTTAATGTATAAACTTCAGACTTAAAAATTGTTTAACACTTAAGAACACTTCGTTTCCAAAAATATAAGGCAGCCAGATAGTAATAACAAAATATTAAATCAATTACTTTTGACGGTACATACGTATTATCGCAACCGTATTGGCGACATTATATGAAAAGAAGCACATGGTTGCCAATTTAGAGGTTACAACATATCTGAAATCGTGGTTGCCAACTTGGTAAGTTATCTTGAACGCTAGCATTGTAGCGGTAATGCATAAAGGCCCTTTTGACTAATGGAATTATATGATTATGAGCATTACAATCATGTTACGAAAACTTCTAAAGTATTTATGATTAAATTCTGTGAGAAATTTTTTCCGCGTCGGAAAAGGGTTAAATTCATGTGGTCACATGATAAAAGCAGTCACGTGTTTCTCTAATGAACTCAAAACTGACATTAAACTTGTAAAATTTATATAAAATTTTAATTTGATAATTGGGTCAGAAAATTAAAAAATTAAGATTATTTAAAAAATTGTTACAAATTTTTTTTAAAAAAATTCTTATATTTTACGTGTACTTTTAAAACATTTTATTTCCCAGTGTGCGTTATTATTGTTGATAAATATGTACTTTTCAAAAGAAAGTTTCGAAAAAGCGAAAGTTGGCAACAGCAAAGCCCATAAACTGATTGGCTGGAAACAGATGATTGCATTTATCATGAGACATTTATCCTGATTGCATTTACATGAGTGCATTTATGAATTAATGAGCTGATTAGCTGAAAGCAAGGACTGTAGTTATCATGTGACTTCTGTGACGTAACGTGAATTTGGCTCCTTAGATAATGAAATTGTCTCGTATATGTAAACTCTGACGAGATTTTCAGTAAAGGTAAAAAAAAAAAAAATATTTCGTTAAGGGGACGTGGTACGATTTACACATTTTTTTTTAATTTAATGATTTTCATAATTTTTTTGATTGCCTCCTATATGTGTGTATGATTTAAAATAAATTTTGTGCTCAAAATTTCAAACTTGAAACTTATGAAGTGATTTTAAAATGGTACTCCTCCAAAAAACATTGACGTACATATATGAAATTTGATTTTAAAGTATATCAAACTATGTATAACAAAAGTTGAAATGGGTTTTGCGATAACATGATTGGTATTCGTACAATACTTCTTTTTATGAATGCTAATTGTAAATTCCTTAAAAAATGTGTAAATTCTAAATTCAATTATTTTTTAAAAAAATAAGTATTGCTTTGATTGAAAAATGCATATCAACTTTTGTTCCATGTACTATTAGCAACAAGTAAAAAAACGTTTCTAAGGCACAATAGAAAAAAAGCCTTAGCATTTTAAATGAAGATAAACTAGATATTTTATTTTTCCGAGATAAGTCAGTTTTTAAAGTTTTGATTTGAATTTGGGAGGCGAATAAAAACAAAAGTAAAAGTTATGAAAACTCTGCGTTTTTTAAACTTAAAGCTTTCAAATTTTGTGTATTTGTAGAAAAGTATACAAAAAATAATTTAGGCTAAAAAAATTAGATTTGATTTTTTGACCGATTTTTGTCAATTGAATCGTACTGTGTCCCCTTGAAAAGCAATTAGCACAATAGAAAAAAAAGGCCTTAACTTTTGAAATGAAACTAAGGATTTTTCCTGCCCTAGATAAATAATTTTAAATTTTTTATTTGCCCTTGGGATGTGAATAAAATAGACATAAAAGGTATAATATCTCTGGATTTTTTTTAACTTAGAGCTTCCAGACTTTGTGAGATTTTACATAAGAATAATTTAGATTAAAAATTTTTATTTGAATTTTTGTCAATTGCATCGAACTTAGTCTTCTTAATTAATTAAGACATTTTAACCTGAGTATAACGTTTATTTTTTGTGGTTTATATTATAAATTTAAATTTTAATTTGATAGATTTCAGATGAGAAAAATAGCCAAATTAAGTGTACAATAATAAGTTTACTAAGTTTAAGGAATACTAAGTTTAAAATTTAATTTTTAGTATGTGTGAGTGTAGGATTTTAACTAAACGCATATATAAATTTTAACAGATTGATACAGCATTATTCAAACATAATTTATTTTTCTGTATCTAAATATAATTAACTTAAATGAAATGAAATTTTTTTTTTAAATTTATTTTATAGAAATAAAGACTGTTGGAGAATTCAGTTAATCAATATAAAAAATGTATTTACTACGAACCTGAAGTTATTTTGTTACTGTTAAAAGTATCACTAAAGAAAAAACAGATTATACAAATGCATTTTTTTTTCATTTAAAAATACACAAAAACAATAAATTTCTATATAGTTTATTTTACATACAATGGCTATCATCTATTCGTAAATTTCTTCGAAATATCATTAGAATAGAAATAAAATAATACATCGTTAAATTTAGAAATTATTATTTCTGTGAATTTTCCAACCCCTTCTCGAAATTACAGTTTCTGAGAAAACGATATACCTAAACCACATTACAGTAACCTTAAATCTCAAATACATGTTGCAGGAATAAATCTTCTTCCCTTAAACCTAAATAATCACGCATCTGTTGGGAATTAAAACAACTATCAAGGAAGGCTATATATATATATATATATATATATATATATATGTATCCATCAGATTTCTTAAAATGCTGTATTTGGCAGTGATGATTATACAACCTCAATAATTAAGCTTCTTTTCTAGGATATTCTGAACTAAAACCACTCTACAGCTCCTCGTTTCTGAAAATGTCAGTAGTTTCTATGGCAACGGGAGAGATCGTGACGTCATTGAAAAGAAAACTTCTGGTTACAGAGGAGGAAAGTTATTGGGAGATTTGGTATTCTTTTTGTGCTTTGATCTAACATACAGTAAACAAGCTTGGATTGGTAAAGGATAAAAACGCGGGAAGGCTAATAAATTAAAAATTCGATAAGCCTAGTCTCACAACTTTTTTTTTTCATCATTCTGTTTTTAATCCTTGTTATGTCTCAATACAGATTTAGTGAAAATCGGAATGACTAAATAAGTCCCTGGAGGAAGATAAAATGGCGCTGAAAATAAAAATGTTTTGAATCGTGTTTCTATTTTTAAATCAAAAAATAATACTAACGGGCTTTGTTTTTTGTTTTCAAATTGGAGTATGACGTTCCAGAATTAATTTTATCAACGGGACAATTTTTTTCAATGCAAATCCTATTCAAATTGAATTTGAAATTAGTTTTCTCCCCTGGTTAAAAAAAATTACAATATTTCATTATAAACAAAACATGTAAGAAGAAGGAATTTTTACATATTCATTTTTAATAAGATGACCTGATTTGGTATTATTGAAAGATAAACAATTTTATGCACATTCTAGTCATAAAAT